CTCCTAACATGCTCCTCTGTCAGCCAAAAGTAAAGCACACAAACTCCCCGAACATAAACCCAGCTGGAGGCGAGGCACTGGGCCATCCTGCTGTGGGAGACAACTGGAAACATTACCCCATGGTGCTGGACCTCAGCTTCCAGGACAGCCGCTCCGTCAGGGGTGCCCTCGTGCCCAGAATGGCCCCCGAGCCTGCTTCCCTCTTACCAGCCCCACCAAGCTTATCAAATTCTTTTCTGTCAGCATCCTTTCCAGCTCCTTGCAGGCCGGCATGTCTGTTTTCTCACTGGGAATACAATTCCCAAAATACCCTGAGAACATTTGTTTTTTTTTTTAAACACTTTTGCCAGCTGCAAAGGAGGAGAGTTAATTGTGGTTCCCAGGACTGAAGGGTCTAAAACCACATGAAGAACCCACCAAGAGGAGGGCAGTCTTGACCCTCAATTAGATCAATTGCTGCCAGGCACTGGTGGCTCACGCCTGTAATCCTAGCTCCCCAGGAAGCTGAGATCTGAGGATCAGGGGTTAAAGCTAGCCTGGGCAGGAAAGCCTGTGAGACTCTTATCTCCAATTAACCAGCAGAAAGCCAGAAGTGGAGGGGTGGCTCAAGTGGTAGGTAGTCAGCCTTGAACAAAAGAGCTAAAGGACAGTTACCCAGATGGTGAATCCAAGCCCCCTAACAGCACAGACAGATACACACACACACACACACACACACAATTGTGGATCGTCTCATTAGTGAATACCCATAGACCATTTGTGCAGGAAGACATTCCATGAGGTGGCTGTAATTCTTGACCTAAGTTGCACTTTCATTCTGTAGCTGCTGGGTCTACAAGCTATCCACATTTGACATTTCTAATATCATATGAAACAGTAACACACACGCTTTTGTTGTCATTTGTGTTTTTGTGATTTTGTTCTGGTAATTTCAGCACTGTCAATGATCTGGACTATTCAAGCAGTGGTTGCAGGTTTTGCTCAGACATAGACTTGGTAAGGTTTGTAATTTAAAAAAAAATCTCATTCTATGTTCAAGCCTTCCCAATTGTGAATACAATGCAACACAACACTGGTTATAGATATCAAAATTATCATTCTAATGAAAAGCACACAAAAAGATATTCCTTCTACCAAGTGCTGGGACTGAGCCTTGCTCAGGCACACCAGAAGGACCCATGTATGTGTCTGAGTGTTTTACAGGGTGCAAGCTGGCTAAACGCGGCCCTGGGGCTTCTGTCCAGCAGAGCTCCAGTTCTCACACACTGCTTGTCTTGTGGATGGAGAACTCGAACTAGATTTGAATTCTTGAGATCCAAAGGCTTCTTATTATTATCAATTTGGGATTCAAAGATTATGTAATTATTTTAAAACGATCAACAGTATTGGTCGTATTTAAAAAATCAGTAACTAAGTTACAGTGCTTTCTGTTAAAAAAAATCTCTTTTATTTAATCCTAAAAGGAAGGTATTTGTTCCACGAGTCCCCTCCTGGCTACATCTAACTCCCTGAGATGCACAGTTCATCCTCTGGGCACACGGGGTTTGGAAGGGGTGTCCTTCCCCAGGCACTATTGTGACCCAGGACTAAACAGGAAATCTCTGAGAGCCAGGAAATGGGGAGGAAGAAGCCCAGGGAGGAACATTGTTTTAGGAAGGAGGCTGGCGGCTCCAACAGCCCCTCATCCTCACTTCAAATGTACCTAGGGCCTCTGCTTGAAACTGGAGAGAAACTGGCCTTCACAACGGGAACCGTTGACACAACCAGGCTATTGGAGCCAGGAACATTGTCTTCCTGTGAACAGAAGACAGCCTACTCCTGTTTGTATTAAGTATGGCAACTTGCATTTTACTTAAGGTGAATAAGTTCAGTTTCTGTATTAGACTTTAGTGGTGGCTACTGGATCAGAAATGTAAACTGTCACGTTCAATCTCCACTTCTAAAATAGATGACAGGGGCTGGGAAGGTGGCTCAGTGGTAGAGCGCTTGCCTTGCATGCCTGAGGCCCTGGGTTCGATTCCTCAGCACCACATAAGCAAAAAAGAAAAAAGCTGGAAGTGGCGCTGTGGCTCAAGTGGTAGAGTGCTAGCCTTGAGCTGAAGAGCTGAGGGAGCGCCCAGGCCCAGAGTTCAGGCCCCATGACCGGACCCCCCCAAAAAAATAAATAGATGACAATGAGCAGAAAATAAAATAAGCTTCCATCCAATTAACTTTAAAAAAAACCTTTTTATCTTGCTTTTAGTTGTAAAATGTTTATTTAGTCCTTTGTTGTTTGCTGTGCGGCCCAGGCTGGTCTCAAACTTGCCACCCTCCTTCCTCAGCCTCCTGAGTACTAGAATTACATGTGTACGTCTTTGTATTCAACTGTTTGGTTCTTCAGGATGGCTCTACTATTTAAAAAAAAAACAACTTTATTAGCATCAATTAGTTGCACAAGAAGGCTTCATTGTGATGCATCCATACATGCACACAATGTACCTTTAGTAGATTCACCCCTTCTGGCCTTACTCTTTCCTTTTGGCCATTTCCCAACCCATTTCCGCAAGCTTCATGAAGACAGACATATTCACCCTTCTCACCCTCTCTGTCTCCTCTTCCCCCTCTCTCTAGTACCCTCAACTCTACAGAACCCATGACATTTCTCTCTTATTTTATAGTGTATGCTAATTATTCAAAGGTGTTTCATCATGGCGTTCCACACATACAGGTAGTATTTTAATCCGATGGATCTCCTTGTCTGCTCTCTGTCCCTCCCACCACATCTCATTAGTCAACAGTTCGTAGTGAGCTTCCTTTCACCATCTTCATTCACAAATGTGTCAGTATTGTCTATTCTCTAACATCCTCACCCCACGTTCCCCTCAAACAGTCCCATACTTACAAACATGTTCTCCAGTGCACACGTGTCCTGTGTTTATATATATGCTCATCTGTTAAGTCTAACACCCACAGATAAGAGAAAACATAAAACTTTTGTCTTTCTGAACCTAACTTACTTGGCTCAACTTGGTGATCACTGGTTTTACCCATTTCCTTGAAAATGACATGACCCTCTCCTTCTTTAGAGCTGAATTGTGTAGAGATGCTACATATTCTCCACCCATTCATCAGTTGTAGGGCATCTGGGCTTTTCCACAGCTTGGCCAGATTTCTTATTTGAGTACAGTACTCTTCGTTTCCAACAAGCCTGTGCAGTATCTATATCAACATCTATTAACAATTTAACAATTTAACTGTGATGCTAGCCTCTCCACCTTTCTCGTTTCAAACAAACCCTAATGCCCACTCCTCCTCCCAGTTCTGCGACCTCTGAGTCCCCTCCATTGTGGAACCTCCTCCCTCTTCCCGGCCAGACCTCCCCCACTTTGCCTCGAAACCTAAATAAGGACTTGCTTCACTCACAACCCTTTCCTGGAATGCCCCAGGCTGTTCCAGGCACTGCAATCTAAGTGATTATAACGTGATAGCATTAATGGAGAAAACATGACCAACTTGTATCAGAAAGGGTTCTCTATTAAATTGGCAGTTCTCTTTTTCTCATCAAATGCCTTTCTCTACAGAATATTATTTTAACTACCTTCAAAAAGTTGCTAAGGCAGAGACTTTAGGCCTAGAAGTGGCTTCAGAAGTTCAGTGACTGGCCCACAGCAGAAACAGAAGTTGGCTTCCTGTCTGGAATTAGTGACATAGGTCATATGGCTTTGTCAAGGCTGCTGGGAGAACTTCTTTTTGTTGTTGTTGTTAATTGTGGGGCTTGAACTCAGAGCCTGGGTGTTGTCCCTGAGCTTCTCTGCTCAAGGCTAGTGTTCTACCACTTGAGTCAAAGCACCACTTGCAGCTCTTGGGTGGTTAATTGGGGGTAAGAGCTTCATAGACTTTTCCTTCCTGGGCTGGCTTTAAACTGTGATCCTCAGATCTCAGCCTCCTGAGTAGCTAGGATTACAGGCGTGAGCCACCAGTGCCTGGCTGCTAGGAGAACTTCTGATGACTTAATTCACTAACTCAGCCCCCTCTGACTGGTTTCAGGATCAAATCAGGTGATGCTTAGCTTTTATATAAAGGAAACACAGATTTTGATGACCAGTAACAGCAGAAACAATCTCCTAGAAATAACTCTGTCTAGACTGGATTAAACTCCTCTAAGCTAGTCCCTCAAAGTAGATCTCTGCTTAGACCCTGGAGGGATCTGAACTCTTTCAGCTGCAGTGTCTACGACGGACAGATCCGACTCCATGTCTAATGGTTTCATAGCAGGTACAGTACCCAGGGAACACTTTAATACAATATCCTATTCCTTAACACATGGCTGTTCTCCCTAAACTTAATCATACTCCATTTGAGACTGGATGAAATTTTTGTTTAGATTGCAAAACATTAATAAAAAAATCAAAAGCTAGAGAACAGCTTCATGATGAACTGAGCATAGCTTTAAGGAGAGGAAGCTCAGAAAGTCCAGAAATTGTGTCTCAAAACCATCACAGGCAGGCGCTGGCTGCCCAGAGAGACTCCTTAAGTTCAGCCACTGCCAGAAAACAGAGAACCCCAAAAGTCATCAGAGGGTTGTTCATTGATGGACCCTCATCCAGAACAGGACTGTCTCTGGCAGGTTGGTTTAAAGTAGGCCTGGTACACCGCAGAGCTTGAGGAGCTCAGAGAAGTGCTGGCTAGCTCACAGATGGCCAACACGAGGTGGAAAGAAAAGAAAAATGTGGAAAACCTCCTGTCTCTCTCAGGATGTGACAACGCTCCATCCCCTCCTCCTCACGCTCTGAGTGAAAGCAGATCACTTTGCCCAAAACATAAATAAGAAGCAGGTATCACTTGGGCCTCTCGTCCCCAGCAAAGCCGCAGATGGTGCCAATGATTTTCAACAGCCCAGGCCTGGGGGAGGGCCCTGGACTGGGAGGGGCGGCTTACCCATGATCCCTCACAGCAGAGGGCTCTGAGCCCCCTACACACCAGTCAGGGTTTGGGAGCACATGAACCCCCCCTGCCCTCACCACACACGACCACCCGTGCTGATATGGGCTGTGTCTCTGAAGGTGTCCACCCAGGGGCGCGGCCAGCGCTGGTAAAAAGCGCAGTGTCCTAAGGGAGCGAGGCACATGAGGTCAGACTCAAAAAGCCAGTTTCCCTAGACAGAAAGGCCAGGGAGGCTGAAGGGGTGGGGTGAGGAGAGCGGCAAGGATCAGGACAGGGTGAGATGTGCAAGAGGTAGGCTCCGGCCTGGAGTGGAAAGGGACACGGACCGCGTTCCCCGCACGGTCTCGCTCCTCCACCCATGTTTCTGGTCACTCATCTACCAGCTTCTCTGCCAGCTGGCCCGGGCCTGCCCTGAGTTCAGAGTCACGTGTGGCCCTTCTGGGAAGTGCTGGCCACACCCAGCTCAGGCCTCAAGGTGCCCTGTCCTGCTGTCCACAGGCGTGGGGCAGTACTGCAGAGAAAGGAGTGGTTTGCTGGCCTGGGGCCAGCGGGCGGCGAGCGCCTTTGGCTGAGCAGGTGCTGGGGCTGTGGACGGTACAGGGTCAGTGCAGGTTGCATTCTGCTGGATGGGGACCTGGAGCGGAAGGCAGTGTGGCCATTTCTGAAGGCTGAGGGTGGGTGGAAGGCACCATGTTTCCCGATGAGGAGCTATAGGGACAGGAGGGACCTTTTGCTGGACCAAGTGACCCCTGGAAAAGCTGGCCTCATCTCTGGACTCACCCACACACCTGCCCGCTCGGAGCCCCACAGAACCTGTCGAAGTTCTCTGGCCTCCATGAACACTGGCCACAGCCCTGTGCCTCAGTTTCTCCAAGTGAGCATTCAGAGCCATCACATCATAGTCATCCATCACACGAAACAATCCCATCTCTGGAAATCTAGCCTATAGAAATAAAGGCTGATCTGGGCAGTAGGTACTGTAGCAAAAGGCTAAACACAGGTGTGCCCACCAGTGACACACCCACGCTGTGGCAAGGTGGAGTCACTCAATGAAACAAGTTGGCCTGAGGTACAGCCGCGTGCGGACAGTCAGGCCTGGCTCTGCCTCCCCGCGCTTCCCTTCCGGAACAACAGCCACGAGCCATCGCAACTGAGCAGATGTGGGGCACAACGCCTGGCCATGGATCACAGAGTGGGGGGACAGGGCCCAGGGCAGGGGGAGCCCCTGCTCACTTGGGTCCCTCAATGTGGGGCGTCAGAGGCCAGGGAGAGGAGGGGTCCTGCGAGAGAGAAAGCCTGGCCCTGCACAGGCGTGGAAGGAACTCACTCGTGCTTGACAAGAGCCCAGCGTGGCCCAGGGGCCCAGGAAGGACCTGGGCCGTGGGCATTAGGGGTGCAGCTCAGTGGGGGCTACAGGTGGGGCGAGGAGGGCGTCTCAGACAAGAGTGCAGAGCACAGGGACAGCTTCATTCAGGGATGACATCAAACGAGCCGACCGGAAGCAAGGGTCCACACTCAAGAAGGAAAGCACAAGTAAGGAGAATATAACATCTAGAACAGCCCCAAGGATGTTCTATTGGAAAAGGAGGTTTCAGTGTGGATTGAAGATGCACATAATGTCTGTTTAGATATATTAGTGTGTGTGTGTGTGTGTGTGTGTGTGTACATCTGTGTCCATGTGTACACACGTGGAAATCAGCAGATTCCTTCACGCTGCCGACTGGGAAGAGGGCCTTTCAAACGCACCAGCAGTGATGAGACTCAGCCCTGAATACCCACTTCCCCTTGGGGAAACCAAGGCTCCTCCAACACATAGCTGCTTCCAGGCTGGGGAAGGGCAGGAGCAGGGTGAATGGATATCCAGTGATCTGCATCCATTCCTGTGGGTGACCTTGAGTTTGGGCAGGAGGAAAGTTCAGAGGAAGAGTCGCGTGCAGCATAAGAACAAGAGCACGTTACACATTTGCAGCCAGTGATGTTCCGAGCACTTCTGCAAGGCCGCGTGTGCCACAGAGCCTGCTCGAGCTGCACATGGCGGAGACTGGGGGACTGGAACATTTATTTTCTTGAGGGACGGAGGTTGGAATTTTGGGTTCAAGGTGCTTTCAGGTAGAGGCCACGTCCTCTGTGTGGGTGATCCCACACATCTCTGTGTTCAAACCCTCTGCTCTAAGGAACCTCAGTCAGGTTGACACAGAGGCCATTCTCATGAGCTTCGTGTCTCCAGTCCTCTCTCTAAGACCCCCCTCCAACCGCTCACATCCAAGATTCTGAAAGGCACAACTTCAAGTGTGCGTTGGATGGGGAAGTATAATTTAGCCAACTTGTGTGTGTCTGTCTGTGTGCGCATGTGTGTGTACTCTGACTCCAGTCATACTCTCTATGCATACGCTCATGGCACACAGTCATTGTCCCTCACCGGCGGTACCACTTCACAGTTTCCATTACCCATGGTCATCTACAACCCAAGAACAGTACATAGTAAACTCCAGAAACAAACAATTCACAAGTTATAAGTTGCCTGCTATTCAGAGTAACATAGACCCCCACAGTCCTGCTTGTACAATCTGGGGTGTCTCTCCTATCTCTGATCAGCATATCCATGCTGTATGTGCTACCCACCTAGAAGGTACTTAGTAACTACCTCAGGCGTCAGGTCAACCGCCATGGTATGGAAGTGCTTGTATCTAAAGTAACCCTCATCATTAATTGACCCCAAAGTACAGGAGGAGTCATGCTGTGGCTGTTTAGTCTGCATCAGAGAAGGCAAAAAGTATTTCCTTCAGGTGAAAAGGTCAAAGTTTTTGGCTTCATAAGCAAGAATACATGGTATTGCTAAGATCTTAGGCTGAGAAGAAAGAATCTGAAACTGTGAAGAAGGAAAAATAAACTCATACTCTTTTTGCTGCCATACCTCAGATGGCAAAATGTTCCTGCGGATGACAGGTGCTTTGCTAAAACAGAGAGGAATTGTACTGCCCGAAGTTTGAAGGGCTCATTGGAGGCTTTAGCAGGGATCTCTCTTAGATAAGAGGGATTCCCATACATCTGTTACTCGTGCTCTGTACTTTTGGGAGGTGATTTTTGCTCTTCGGTATCTTATAGAGCTTTGTGTTTTCTCAGTTTCTCAATAGCAACCGTGACTCCATTGCTTCCTTTTAGGTTAGCCTAGTCTTGGCAACCCGTGGGCTTTAAGATTGCCTCTCCTCCCCCATAATGGGGCATTTATTCCCTCACACACAATCCACTTCCCCTACGGGGTTGGCCAAAGTAAGAATCTGGCTGCTCAGTAATAGTTCCACTACATATCATCCCCAGCTCGTGGCCCTGAACCACCCTGGGGCCTCTTCAAGTGTCTTCAAGGCCCTTGCTGGGTGGCCAGGTAGGCAGAGCTCATGCATGAATGTGGTGCCTAAATGACAGGTCCCGGACCCAGGGGAGGTGAAGTAGGGCTTCGTGTGGCAGTGGTGGGAGGCTGGCTTGAGGGCAGGACATCTGGGTGACCGTCAGCCCCTGCCTGGAAACCTCAGCCTGGTCCCTGGGAAATTGGGGAAGAAGAGGCAACTTCCCAGAGGCCAGAGGACAGGCCCAGCCCATCTCCAGGACTCCTCCTGGTTGGCATCTCCTCACACCAGAAGACAAGAAAGCCCATCCTTTCCCGCCTCACCGCTTGGGGCTGTGAATATCTCTCACCACCCACAGCTGGGGGAGGTCAGGACCCTCCCTTCCCTGTTGTCCTCTCCTGAGCGACCACCCCAGGCATCCTGTCTCTCCAGCCGGGCCCTTCTCCTGCTGCCTGTCAGGTTTGCCAGGACTCAGCAGCTGCCACAAGGTGGAGACAGTGGCCGGCCTTCCTCTGGGGAATAGGATGGACACACAGCTTACTCCAGATCACGCTCCGACTCCCACCAAGGGCACGCTGAAGAGAATCGGAAGCTTGGAGTCTGAATGGCTCACACATCTGGAAAGCTAGCTTATTCTGGCAAAGCCATTTCCACATCTACCCAAGGAAACACTCTGTGTCCATGGCAGCCTCTAGGTTCCAGTTCAGGAGCCCAGCTCAGGAGCACACCAGTGGACAAATAGATGAAGAAAACATTTTATATATATATATATATATATATATATATATATATATATATGCATATATACACACAAATGTACACATATGTATGTATAGTATTCCACCTTTAAACAGTAGGAGCTCCAACTGGGTACCAGTGACTTGGGCCTATAGTCTTAACTACTCAGGAGGCTGAGATCTGAGGATCACAGTTCAAAGCCAGCCTAGACAGGAAAGTCCATGAGATTCTTACTGTCAATGAACCACGAAAAAAAAAAAAGCTAAAAGTGGATCTATGGTAGTAGAACAGCAGCCTTAAGCATAAAAAGCTCAGGGACACTGCCCAGGCCCTGAGTTCAAATCCCAGGACTGGCACATACACACAGTTCCTGCCATTAAGTACAGCCTGAATGGCGTTGTGATGAGTACGCACAGGAGTCCAATCACTGATCGCACTCATGTGCGGAGTCTAAAGCAGAGAGGCACTGGGCAGGAGGCAGGCTGTCAGAACTGGCATGCGGAATCCTTGAAGCTTGCTCGAAGAGTAGATTGTAGTGTTCTGACCAAAACCAAGACGGAGCTCTGTGAGGTGATAGACACACGGATCAGCTGCCCGGGGGTCACGGCTTAACAACAAGGGTGCGTGTCATCACACCTTAAAGATGCACAGTTCTACGCGCTAAATTTTACCTCCATAAAGCTGTAAAAACCAAGCAAGGGACAATCTTTCATGGAAAGGACATTCAGTTACACTGGTACTGGGTACTATCCTGCTCATGCTTAGTGCTGGGACTGTGTTCACTGCGGTGCACAACACAGCCTTCTCTTTGGGGAACCAGATATACATACAGAAGGAACTAGAAGCGTCTAGTGACTTCTCAGCGGGCATGCAAGTATCCATCTTCAAGAGGTGTGTGGGCGCCTAAATGTGTCGGAAACAAACCCATCACTGAAACACTGGCTCCAATGTTAAGACACCGAGGGCTTGCTCAGCTACACAGAGAGGAGAGCACAAAAATCCTGCTTACCAGGCTATGTGAACAGAATATGGTGACACATGCCTGTAACCACAGGCTCAGGCAGGAGGGCCACAAGTTCAAAGCCAGTCTGGGGTATATAGGAAGAATCCTTATACTCACTCACTTTTTTGTTTTTTTGTGTTTAAGTCTGATGAGTAAGACCCTACAGTATTAGATGGATGGTAGATATACAGATACAGAATAGATGATAGATAGACAGATAGATAGATAGACTCGTTTATTATGGACTAGTAGACTATTCGACTATAGACTCTATAGCTTCTATAGACTATTAGTCTATATAGACACACTCTCCCTTTTCAGAGGCTCACCCAACTATTATATAGCCTAGTCTATACATACATGGACCAGTAAAATAAACAGGTATGTAACTGTAAGTATTAAACCAGGAAACTTGATCATCACAAATTACAACCATAATCACTCTTTATACATGTCCAGTGGTGACACCGCCGATGACAGCAGATGTAGACTCTGAGTGAAGTCTCCCCCCAGAGCCCCCGGCGTTACCAGCTCTTGCAGGGGGCTTTCTGCTTCCCCAGGGGGCGTGCTATTCTACTGTGAACATGATACAGCTGGTTCCACTGTCAGCGGGACGGGGTACGCAGGGTGCAGGAGATTACGGAGGTTCCAGCCTCCCATCCCGCAGTGCCAGTCTCCCCGCTGCACATCAACCCTTCACTCTACCATGAGGCCATTACTCTACCATAAGGCAAGCAATGGCCATGGTACTTATTCTAGTGTACACAGTACTTATTTGAACATACACAGTACTTATTCTAATATACCCGATACTTGTTCTATCAT